ATATATTATATATATAATAGATATATACACATATTATATATATACACACGTATAATTACAATAATAAATAAATAAAATAATAAAATAAATAAATAAAAATTTTTTTTTTAAAATTCAAATAAATTATATATACATATGTAATTTCATTCTAACTGTATTTTGTTATTAGTATATATATATTGGTAACAAAATACACTTAGAATGACATTCTATATATATCTATCTATATATGAAATACAAATAACTGCAAATATATATATAGATAAATACATATAATTACATAAAAGATTACATTAGTATACCCGTAGAATTTAAATACCTATAAATGCATATATATTAAAATTCTACATGTATATTTAAGTAATCTTTTTTTTTTGTAAATATATTTTTATTGTCATTGTACTTTCACAGTGAGACTCGCAGGTCTCTTCAAGCAAATTGTAACTAAAGCACAACATGTGCCAGTACACGTATGAAAACAAGTAAGTATTCGGGCTCGCAGGCCCACTTCAATGATGGACTCCCAGGTCCCTATTCAGCAATACGGTGATTAGGTATCTATTGTTATTTTCGCCTTTTCCCCCTGGTTTGTTTATTCACTGTCTCCCACTTAGTGCCCGGTAGGACACCTAGGTCCTTTCTGTGTGCAGTCTCATCTCATTTAGTGAGGGAGGTGATGGGTTAGTACTGTGTCGGCGATCCGTAAGTCACCACAGGCTTCGTATGGTATATATCTGTTGGACTCATGAGTCCACTGCCAGGTGGTTAAGAATGTTATAGTTTTTGGGGTGTGGGTCTGCGGCCCAAGTGAGATTTGTGGGAAGGAGGGGGAAGGGGGGGTATGCGGGGGAGAGGACAGAGGAGGGGGGTGGGAGGCTGCAGGTGGTACGGAGGAATTGGTGGGGCAGGGGTGGCGTCAGTTCTGTCAGGTGGGGCTTCTGTGTCTAGTCGGGCACCGAAATCTGCCTGTGTGGTGATTACAATCCAGTGTGTCCAGGTCTCCATGTATTTTTCGGTGGAGTTAGTTGCCCCCGAGTGTAATTCTTCTATCGCCCTGAGCTCTGCCATTTGGGTGAACCATGTTCTGAGAGGAGGGGTCTTATCTTGTCTCCAGCATTGAGGTATAACCTGTTTGGCCACATTAAGGATTCTAATGGTCATGGACTTCTTATATCGGGATCTGGGTACGGTTGTGTGGTGTAGGAGCATTGCTGCTGGCTCTAGTGGTGGTGGTGCGTCTGAGAATTTTCCTAGGATGTTGTGTATGCCCATCCAGAATGGTTTAATTCTGTGGCATTCCCACCATAGGTGTAGTGTAGTGCCCTTTGCTTCTCCACACCTCCAGCATAAGTCGGAGCGTGAGGGGTCTATTGCGTGTAGCATATTTGGGGTGCGGTACCAGTGTCTCAGCAGTTTGAATGCCGTCTCTTGTGTCTTGGTGAAGGTAGAACAGTGGTGTGTGAGTTAGCATATATTTTCCCACTCTGTCTCGGTAAAAGTCCTTCCCAGTGTGGTTTCCCATTTGCCCTTGAAGGCAGGAGTCTCCGTCGGGGTCTCCCTTTGTAGTAGTGAGTATAGGAATGAAATGCCGTGGGGTAGAGGGTCTGGGTGCATACAGCACTCTTCGAAGGTAGTCGGGTTCCTAGCATGGGCTCGTCCCCCGGGGAGGGAGTCTATATAGCTCGACAGTTGTTTGTATTTAAAGGTTTGTAGGAATGTAGGGGGTACGTTCTCTATCAGGTCAGAAAGTGTCTTCCAGCCCGAGTGCGTGTAGATGTGGTGTAGTCTGGGGATGGGTGTATGGATGATGTCCCTGAAAGAACTCGGGTCGAGGCCGGGGGGAAGTCGTAATTGTGTGTTAGGGGTAGCAGAGGTGATGGGTGTTGGGTTAGTCTGTGTGTCCGGGACCCACTGTGCCATACTCGTAAGGTATGCTGTGCTAAAGAGGAGCAGCCCCGGCCGAGCCCCCTCCCGGAGCACTTAAGTAATCTTTTAACATAATTATGTGATTTGATTAATTAAAATTTGATTGACATGCCTGACAACACAGGGAGAAAGTGCAGAGAATTTAATTCGCAAGCACTATATTTGACCCTGTGACTCTCCAAGACACCATAAAACCTGTACATAGGGGGTACTGTTTTACTCGGGAGACTTTGCTGAACTCAAATATTAGTGTTTCAAACTGGTAAATTGTATTACAACGATGATATTTTAAGTAAAAGAGACAGTTTTTGCATTTTTTACAAATGAACTGCACTTTTATGGACTATATTATTGTTGTAATATGTTTTACTGTTTTAAAACACTAATATTTTTGTTTAGTGAAGTCTTCCGAGAATAACAGTACCCCCCATGAACAGGTTTTATGGTGTTTTGGAAAGTTAGAGAGTTACATATAAGGCTTGCATTTCATTTTTTTGACATTGAAATTTGCCAGATTGGTTTTGTTGCCTTTGAGAGCGTATGGTAGCCCAGGAATGAGAATTACCCTCATGATGGCATACCATTTGCAAAAGTAGACAACCCAAGGTATTGCAAGTGGGGTATGTCCAGTCTTTCTTAGTAGCCACTTAGTCACAAACACTGGCCAAATATTAGTTTTTTGCTTTTTTCACACAAAAACAAATACGAATGCTAACTTTGGCCAGTGTTTGTGACTAAGTGGCTACTAAAAAAGACTAAACATACCCCACTTTCAATACCTTGGGTTGTCTACTTTTTTTAAATTGTATGCCATTGTGGGGGTAATTCTCATTCCTGGCCTACCATACGATCTCAAAGGCAACGTAACCAATCTGGCAAATTTCAATGTGAAAATAGAACGTTCTATATTTGACCCTGTAACTTTCCAAAACACCATAAAACCTGTTAATGGGGGGTTCTGTTGTGGTTGTGAGCAGTGGCGTACACACAATCCATGGGGCCCCGGTGCGAAACTGATCCGTGGCCCCCCGATTCATGCCCCCCCATCCCTCCTGACACATACACACAGACACACACACAAACATACAGACACACACACATACATACAACCCTCGACAGGCACACACATATATACACACAGACACATACATACATAGACACACACATACATACGGGGCCCCATGGATTGTGTGTACGCCACTGCATACATAGACACACATACATACAGAGACACACACACACGTACATACAGAGAGACACAGACACACATACATACGGGGCCCCATGGATGGTGTGTACGCCACTGCATACATAGACACACACACGTACATACAGAGACACACAAATACATACAGAGAGACACAGAAATACATACAGACACACATACAGAGACACACACACACACAGAGACACACACACACACATACAGACACACACACATATAGAAAATGTTTCCTACCTTCTGACTTTCCCTGGGGTGCAGTGGGGGCTCAGCCTGATGGGAGTCAGAGTTCCCACTCTGACTCCCTTCTCCTCCTCCTTCCTCCCGCGCGGGCTGATAGCTGGGAGGAGTGACTGGGGAATCCCTTCCTCCCAGTGATGATGTAATCACAGGGGGCCCAGTCGCGCTGTTAAAGCGCCCAGCACAGACCGGCCCCCTCACAATCCATATCCATCGGGTGGCCCTGACAGCATGGGCCACCCGATGGACCCTTCCATATGCTGCCTCGGCGGTTTGCCGTGCGGGCCAGGGTCTCAAATGTGGCAACTGGTACCCGGTCGCAGGGGTCCGCAGGGCAGCCGGGCCCCCTGGATTGCCGGGCCCGGTCGCAGCTGCGACCCCTGCGACTGTGGTATGTACGCCACTGGTTGTGAGACATCGCTGATTACAAATATGTGATTTTTTTTGCAGTAAAACCTAACAGTATTATGACATTCACAGCTAAAATGTCAGACGTAAATATAAATTTAAAAATAAAATCTAATTTTCTCACATTTTTTTAAATTGTATTCATAATAAATTATGTTCCATATATGAATTGTTAATGATACATTAAAGCCCTGTTTCTCCTGAACAAAATGATATATACAGCGGTGAATTACGGTTGAACAGACATATAGCGCAAATTCCAGTTTTTGTTAATGTTTTGTTTTGACTCTGTCCTGAAGGGGTTAAACAATATTCTTTGTTTATATATTTTGCAAGATGTATGCCAGGGTAATAGTCATTTGCCTAGTAATAATAACCTATGAAATCTGTTTATATTACCAAAAATCTAAGAAAGAGCATCACTTTTCATTACCTCTACTACATGACTTGTGGACATTTGTCCGACAACCTAAGGTTATCTTTTAAGAACCCAACCGGTCCAAAAGTAGAATCCTATTTAGAAAGTCTTGCTTTATTTATTAGGGTTTTTTCCACTGGATACAATTTTTTTTAAATGGATTTTTTCCCCCCTTTAATAAGGATTTTTATTATTAGATTCCTTTTAGAACAGCAAGCAATTCTGAGTAACCTGGATACACAGAAAATGCTTATTTTGTTGTATCAGACATCTGGTATTTATTTTAAAATCCCTGACCTCGGCAAAGCTAAATGCATGAAGCTGAGGTCTGCTGTTTATTGAGAGAAAAATTGTTTAATCTGGTAGGAATTGGGGAGGTCCTTTTCTAGAACATACTGTAATCTCTGTGTATCGCTACGTATCGCACCCTGTACTGTCCTTAAATGTATTATCATGTATTATCTGCCTGATGTGCATGGATAATACATATTGTTAAAGTGAGTGAGGTGAAATAACTGGATAGAAAGAGAGTAGAGGATGTGTCATGAGGTTAAACCCCAATACTCAGAGGTTAGGACAGCAAGGACTGTAATGAAGGAAATAAATGGTCGGGAGGATATGGAGATACAAATCAAGGTAGGGCACAGAGATATTGTAATATAACTTTGGCCAGGGTGTAAGGGCATGGAGATATAAATATATACAAGGAACAAGGATATGTTAATATAACTCTGGAGAGCATAGGCGTGCGCAGCCTATTGCATTAGGGTGTGCACCCTAAAGCACAAACACACGCCGCGTGTGTGTGTGTGGATATATCTATCTGTCTATCTATATATATATAAATATAGATAGACAGATAGATATATCCACACACACACACACTGCTGTGTGTGCTGTTAGTGTGATGTGTGTGTGAGGGTGCTGTTAGTGTGATGTGAGGGTTTTTGGACCACCAGGGACCAGCAGTGTGTGTGTGGATATATCTATCTATCTATCTATATATATAAAGAAAAAAGCACTGTACCTTGCACTCAAACTCCATGTATCCAGACCGGGTGCACTCCCAGGGCTCCAAATATCCAAATAGCTGAATCAAAGGTTGCACTCACGGATTCTTAAAACATAGCTTTTATTGTGTACTCCTAAAAAAAATCGACGTTTCAGTCCTATTCAAGGACTTTCATCAGGATCATAGAAACATAACATAACAATTCAACCATATATAGGATGCAGTAAATTACAATAACTCACCACAGGTGCCATAAGACAACCGGCGTCCCGGTCAGGAATGTGCGCATGTGCCGAGTAGCCCCTCCCCCCGGCGTAACGTGTGACGACGCCGTTGCTATAGTGACGCAGCCAGCGTATACTATATTGAAGCCGGCATCTGAACCGGGACTGTGCAGTGATGCGGAGAGGTTCCGCCCCCAATGTGACATCATGTGTGTGCCGCCGTCGTTACCATAGTAACGCGGCTGTGAATGAGAAAACACATCAATATGGAAACAAGCTTATCAAAAAATGATAACCTAGTTGTAAACAACTAGGCTACTATGGAACATTGACATACCAAATATGGTTAAGCCAAATGTGAATGTGATCTATGTATATTAATAAAGTGCAAAGGGGTCATTTAAAGTGCATCGAAATTATCTCTTAAAGTGCCATATAGGTGCATAATATTTAAAGTGCCACAGTGCAAATGTGAACATGTTGTGACCCACTATAATTAATATGAATGTTTATATTAAATAACCCCAATGATTAGAGATTAATGTTAATAGATTAATTAATCAAAAAAAGTATATACATATGGTTATATAAGGCTTTTTTTCATGACTTTTTTAAAACTTATTTTCTCTTTCTTGTTTCTGCTCCTCTGACACTCAACAAAAATGTATGTTCAAACAATTGTTGCGACAGCACTATTGTGTTCTGCATCAAAGACTGTTGAACACATTTCAAAGCAATAACTATTAATGCTTGCAAAACATAAATAATTAATTATATAATAAGCGGGCGGTCGCAGGATAGTCATGAAAAATGCACATAGAAAAACCTAAAATACACACAAATATAAAATCACACATAAAAAAGAACATTGAGGGGCATTCAGGCCAAAAAAGAATGTAGCGACAATGCTTCATTTAATCCTTTTGGAGACACAGTGTCCAACTCATGGATCCAATAGGCTTCTCTATTAAGTAGCATCCTCCCCCTATCACCCCCTCTTCTAGGGTTAGGGATGTGGTCTATAGCCACAAATTTCAATGTAGCCAATGAGTGCTTTAGTTCAAGGAAGTGTTTTGCAACCGGTTTATCTGTAGAACCATCCCGATATGCCAGTCTAATAGAAGATCTATGTCCCCTGATTCGTTCGCAGATGGCCGTCTCCGTTTTCCCAATGTAACATAAGCCACACGGACAAGACAGTTTGTATATTACATGTGTCGTCTTGCAAGTAATAGTATATCGAATAGTATATTTTCTATTATTGTGAGGGTGAAAAAAAGTTCTTGCAGGTGTCATGTGGCTACAAGTCACACAGCCAAGGCAGCGAACAGATCCTCTTATTTGTTCCTTCGCTATATTCAAATAGCTTTGGGAGGGATCCGTATGTACTAGCATATCTTTTAGGTTTCTATTTCTCTTATAACAAATTAATGGCTTTTCTTTAAACACTTTCGGGAGCGTGTCATCACTCGACACAATCCTCCAATTCTTCCTAATGACCGATGCCACTTGAGAGGTAGACTGGTTGTATACCATAGGGAAGACCAAATTAAGAGGTTTCTTCTTTGTTTCAATGGCGCGTGCATTCAATGCTTCTTGTAGCGCTGTTTCCAACATAAATTCGTCATAGCCTCTTTGAAGAAATTTATTTTTCATTTCAAGAATCTGGACATCCCTAATAGCTGCTTCCGAATTGTTCCTGATTACTCTTAGGAATTGAGCCTTTGGTAGTGAGTTCTTCAGAGCCCTGGGGTGTGCACTCTGATAGTGAAGGAGTGTATTCCTATCTGTAGGTTTTGTATAGAGGGAATATTGAAAATGTGTTGCTCCCAGTGAAATTTCCAAATCCAAATAATGCACCTTCTCTGTGCTAATATCCGCCGTGAATCTTACTGGGGTTGGTAAGAGATTAAGATCTTGAACCATTTCGTGGGCTGATTCACAAGTTCCACTCCATATGATGAACAGGTCGTCAATAAATCTGTAGTACGCTATTATATTACTTTGGTACTTCTCCAATATGTGTTCCTTCTCATACACATACATGTATGCATTAGCATACATCGGCGCCATAGATGCGCCCATTGATGTGCCAGCCACTTGTAGATACCAGTTATTTTCAAAACGAAAATAATTATTCTGTAGAGTTAAAGAAAGTAGTTCCAAAACATATTCTATAGGGGGGCCATGGTAGACAGGAGATTGAATCAAGACTTGCCGCATAGCTTCTACCCCAGCATCATGTGGTATCACTGTGTATAGACTATGTACATCCATTGTTATTAGGACTGGTCTATAATTACCATAAGATAATTCATTGATTTTGGTGATGAGAGTTTGAGAATCTTTAATACAGGTAGACAGTTCTCCAACTGGACCTTGGAACAAATAATCAAGCCATTTTGCAATAGGCTCTAAAACGCCATCAATGGCTGACACTATAGGGCGTCCTGGCGGTGATTTTGGATTTTTATGGATTTTTGGAATCGAATATATGATAGGCGTGCGGGGGCATGTTTTAATAAGATAATGATGTAATTTGGAGTCAATATAGCCCTATCTCAGGCCCATTGATAAAACATCTTCAATTTTATTCTGAATATTGATAGTGGGATCTCCATCTAACAATATATAGGTGGTTCTATCTGATAGTTGCACATTCAGATCTTTAGCATAGTTCATGTAGTCCATAATGACGATTCCACCTCCCTTGTCAGCCGAACGGATGACTATTGATGGATCTGTTGCTAATCCCTTTATAATTTTCCTTTGTTGTTTCGTGATGTTGTGTTTCACTTTACACTCGCGTTGCATAAGGGTTTGAACTTCTTTATTGGTCATGGAGAGAAAAGTCTTAATGGACGCCCTATTAGATATAGGATCAAAAGTGGATTTAGCCCGAAAAACATCTGTATCCGCTGTATTACATTCCACTGTATTTGAGAAAAATTCTTTCAATCTCATAGTTCGCCCGAACTTATGCAGTTCAATCTTCCACTTGAAAACATCAGCCTTAGATGTAGGCACAAATGAAAGGCCTTTACTAAGGAGTTCTATCTCAGTTGTATCAAGGGGCCTTTGAGAGAGATTGAATATAGGGATTACCTCCTGCGTGGGGGTTTCCCCTGTACAGGTGTTCTTTCCTTTACGGCCTCGCCTCGTTCTTGGTCTACGTCGACCCTGAACCGGCTCCTGGTTATTGTGCCTGCTTCGTCTGTGGCTAAAAAAAGTGCTTTTGAAGTTTCCGTGATGTTTCTGGTATCTGAATCAGAGGCTGACTCTCCTGAGGTTACGTCCACTGTTGGGACCCTAGGTCGCTGTATCCTTCTGCGTTGTTTCCTGGGTCTATTGGCTCTAATGTTGCCAGTGAGCCAACCATAGACTCTGTGTTCCAAATAGTCTTGTGTGACTTTCTCAAATTTCTGTTTTTTAAATCTCACTAATTCCATCTTATATTTCAAAACTTCCTCTTTAAGTTTTTGTATGGTCTTTAATCCTTCAGGTGTAGCCAATAATGTTGCATATTCGGTCTCTAATTCCGTGATTTTTAAGTTAGTGTCCATCAGATCTGCCTTCACATCTCTAATGATAATGAGCATTAGGTCAAGTGATGCTCTATTCAACACTTGCGTCCATTCTCTGCAAACCGTGGCTTTAGACCTTCCTATAGTTGGAACATTTAAAATTCTGAATCCCCTAGGGATCCGTTTAACTCTGTAGTAATCCGAAAGGAAAAGGCCGTGTAGGTCTAGATCTATTTGTTTCCTACGTAAGCGTAGTAGCTTAAAGTATATATCTTTTGTAGTAAGCTGATATGGAAGTTCTGAGCTAGACTGATGCCATAGTATGTCATCCGCTTCTTCTTTGGAGAAATACAATGTCTCTGCCTGTTCTGAATATGCCCCCGCCTGTACCAAAAATTCATCCATAATGAAAAAAGCTTGCTGAATAAATTGTATGAAATTGGCTACTGTGGCTTTAAATTGCTGGAATTCTCAATACAGCAATATATAAATACAAAAAAATATATAGATAGATAGATAGATATATCCACACACACACTGTTGGTCCTGGTGGTCTAAAAAAACTCACATCATTACTAACAGCACCCTCACACACACATCACATTTACAATAGCACATACAGCAGTGTGTGTGTGTGTGGATATATTTTATTTGCTGTTTGTTTATAGTTAATACAGTAAATAAAATAGTAGAGCGATAAGGTTATCTGTTGTAATATAGGTGTGTGGAATTTTTGTCATCTATATATATATATATATATATATAGATAGATAGATAGATATATCCACACACACACACACTGCTGTGTGTGCTGTTAGTGTGATGTGTGTGTGAGGGTGCTGTTAGTGTGATGTGAGGGTTTTTGGACCACCAGGGACCAGCAGTGTGTGTGTGGATATATCTATCTATCTATCTATATATTTTTTTGTATTTATATATTGCTGTATTGAGAATTCCAGCAATTTAAAGCCACAGTAGCCAATTTCATACAATTTATTCAGCAAGCTTTTTTCATTATGGATGAATTTTTGGTAAAAACCCTCACATCACACTAACAGCACCCTCACACACACATCACACTAACAGCACACACAGCAGTGTGTGTGTGTGTGATATAGTTTCATCTGTTTGCCTA